GGCGCCTCAGTCCATCGATAGGAAGGGAAAGATGGAGTTGCATTTCACTCCTAAGTCAATAAGAAAGTAATGAGGGGTAACGTGTTGGGTTATCTACGATTTCATATTTCTCAGGACAAAATACACTTTTTAAGAGGCAGTGGAGAGTTCTTTAAACTCTGAAGAATACACAGCAGATTAATCTGAATGATTGACACGTGTCATGAAACAGGGATCGATAGGAAGGGAAAGATGGAGTTGCATTTCACTCCTAAGTCAATAAGAAAGTAATGAGGGGTAACGTGTTGGGTTATCTACGATTTCATATTTCTCAGGACAAAATACACTTTTTAAGAGGCAGTGGAGAGTTCTTTAAACTCTGAAGAATACACAGCAGATTAATCTGAATGATTGACACGTGTCATGAAACAGGGACAGGGATATCCCCTTGAGGCCTCACTTGAGGAAAGAATATACATTAAATTGTCATCGCACTGTTATAGATCTGTTACTGGGAAGCTGAAAACCTAAGCAGAGTCTACAATGAATGGAAACAACAGAAGAAGGCAGTATGGTCATGGAAACAATACAAACGCAGGTAATACCTTTAATTGACCATTAAGAATATATTTTTAAAAAACCCAAGAAGCAAATTGCAAGTTCTTGTGGGCATGCTGCAGCTATTTACATCTAAGAAGCTAACCTGACCTCTACACCATCAGTCATGTGAATCGGGGACATTTAAAAACAGCACATAAGTTTGGAACTCCCCACAAGACCTAGATGCACAGCCTTGAAGAAGATGATTTATCACCGAAAGCTTGCTATTTGGTTTTGGTTTTAGTTTTGTTTTATATTCTTAATGGTCGATTGAAGTATCATCTGCTCCCGTATGCATAAGCATAGCCTGAAGTCCTTTGCATACAGACTAAGCAGGAAATGCTTCTGAAATCACTAGATCTAGCTTCCAAATGCCATGCTAAGATTGCATGTCTGAAGAAGTGGGCGATAGTCCACAAAAAGAAATGTTAGTTTCAAAGCTGACAATGTGTGTGTGTGGGGGGGGATAATAGATTAATTTGCAACTTTTTGGTCCTAAGAGAGGAGGGTAAAAATCCCAAACTGGTGCAAGGAGGCTGGAGACCACAGCCTCAAGAGGACTGACATCAGCTTTCACAGACATGTACTATCAGTTTTTAGACTCCTGTCTACAGTTTTTCTGCACTATCCATGAAGGGGTTGTGCTAAGCCTGAAAAAGTGGGATTTTTCTCCTTAAAAGCTTGCAATTTAATTTTTTTATTGGTCCAATCAAAGGTATCACCAAAGGTATCTGCCATTTGTATAATCTTGGAGAACCACACAGTTTTTTCCTTGTTCAATCCACAAAAATGTATGCCAAATAAAATTTCTTATTCTTAAAAGTGCCACAGGACTCAGTTGTATTACAATTATGTTTTTTAAAAATAAATTGTACAGTAGGATATGATCCATCATTCTTCCTTCATCACTGTAGTGTGGCAACAAAGACCAAGAAGGCTTGCTGTTTTCTAGATCAGGGGTCTCTAAACTACAGCCTGCAGGGCACATCCAACCTGCTTTGCCTTTTTATCCAGCCCAGTCTAGACTCTAGGACCTTTCTCACCCTGCCCCTGCCTCCGCGCCTTCCCTAACAGCGCCTGGCAACAGGCTTGGTCTCCTGCTCATCCCCTGCCCTAACTCTCTCTCTCTCAGCCTATCCGCCCTTCCCCAGGCTTCTCTCTTGTGGCCCTCATACTGAAATGTTTGGAGACCCCTGTTCTAGCTGATCCCAAGCTGCAGAACAAAAGAGAACAAAGTGGAGAAATGAAGTAAATAAGATGAAAGCTCAATCTGATGTGCTGTCAGGTGTTCACTGAAGAACATCTTCTAAAGAACTTTGAAAGATTTAAAGATTGCCCCTTTTTCAAAAAAAGGAATGTCTTCTTCATCTGATGCTTTTCCTGATTCAGTTAATACATCTGCTATAACAGTTCACAGTTTGATAGCACTTCAGCTGCCATGGCTCTACTGTGGAATCCTGGGATTTGTAGTTTGATGGGGAGAAAGAATTCTCTGCTATAGTTTAAACTTTAGGGTGCACTGACACTCACTAGCAGAAACTTCTAAGGATCTCCTCAAACTGCAAATCTCAGGACTGCATAGGATGAAACCATGACAGTTAATGTGGTATCATGCTGCTCTAACTATGTAGTGTACGTGCATTCTGAAGACCCGGAAAAATTCAGTACATGATGCAGCATGATAGATGAAGCAAAACAATAGTGTGACAACCAAACTGGTGCAATACAGTGTTGGATTGGGTGCTGAATCACTTATTGAATGGGATGTCTAATGATGTAATAACTAGAGATCTTGAAAACTTAGTTATTTCCGTGACTATTGTATGAACTGGCCAAATAAAGATATTAAATCTATCACATAGATTTTGTGAATTAATTTATTAATTAATTTTTTGCAGGCAGCTAGTGGTCTAGTCAATTTCATTCCTAAAAGGAATGGAGTAAAAACTTCTGTATCTCAAAGAAGTACACAAGAAGGTAACGTGTAGGAAAGGAATTAACACTGCCTAGCTGTGTGGCGCAGGAGAGAAAGCCTTGTACCATTCTTCCATTTTCAAAGGCTCATGTTGATACAGAAACATGAGCACACGGATTACCATAGCAGACAACAAATATTTTAAACAAATATTTAAGTTAGTGACTTCTCTGTGCATATGAGAAGAGGCTTACTGCTGGTAATATTATGTACCCTATCCAATGGCTGAAATCCAACAATAAGTCACAAACTAGAGTAGGCCTACATAGTATGAATCAATGGATTCATGAAGGCACAGGCTCACTAAATCCCCAGGTTTTATGGGCCTAGTGTTGTTATAACTTACTGCTAGATTTCAGCTAATGAATGTGTGTGCTGCTGGGAAATCGTTTTTGCTTTGTGTATGGACTGTTAGAAGCACTACAGAATCTTGAAAAGCTAACTTCACCTCCAAAGCATTGCAGAACATGGTAGTGTGACTTGCAGATTGGACCCACAGATATCCATACAATCACAAAGAGTGCAGTTAGTCTGGGAGTTAAGTAGGAGGGGAACAGAGGCAAGGCCAAGGAGGCAAGTGGAAGTAAATGGATGTTGGTCTGGACAGTTTAAAACTAAGGGAAATAAATTCTCTATTTACCCC